TGACTGGCCCCACCCCCATCTATTCTCTGCCTCCCAAGTCCCAGCTGATCGGGAGGAAATGGGGATTTTGCAGTATCCTTTCCCTGGAGTGGGGTGGGAATGGGGATTTTACAGTATCCTTCCCCTGCCACGCCCACCAGGCTATACCCACCAAGCCACACCCATAGAACCAGTAGTAAAAAATGTTGAAACCCACCACTGAACTAAACAATAAAAAATTGTATAGCAAAATAACCACTTATTCTATGTGTAAACATAAATCTTAACAACATGCATACATACATATATATATAATTTATATTTTGCTGATGAAGAAATAAAGGGAGACTAGTATAGATATATTTCAAGCTATTTAGCTCTCATCAGCTAGCCATACCCTTACTCGGATTTGAACTTGGGCTGCCTGCATGTTAGGCACTTGTATTAACCTCTGAGCCACAAGTTCTCCTCCCTTTGTCAGTTTGAGCCAGGGGAGAGATTAAGGTTTTTCTATCGAAGCAGCTGGTCCACCACAACATCCTCCCTCCCACATGTTGGGATAGACCAGGTGCCTCAATAGAATATACACACGCACACATGCACACATACATGTGTGTGTGTGTATATATATATAGATATAATACAATATTTTATAATGATAACAAATTAGAAACCTAATCATCAAACCCTAAAACCAAAACTACATTTTTATCTTTCTCAATTAAGAAGTTCACATATGGTTTCCATATAGAAACAAAGTCAAATAAACTTTTATCTTTGGGCTTTCATCAAAGTAGTCAATTTTGCTATCTCTGCCAGTTCCATTAATTTCACTATCCAGTATTCATTTGTGGGAATTTATATCTTTCCCCTGCTGCCCATATAAAAGTCTTGCTGCAATTGTCATATACAAAACTATTTTGTTATTGCAAATAAATCAAGGGAATCCATAGGGAGAGGGTCAGAAAGTCAAGAAAACTTCTAAAACCACACAACTGAATTGTGAAACACGTAGAAAAGGACCAGGACTTCAACTACATGGTTGTGGCTGCCATCCTAATTTTTAGACATCTCCCACATCTCTCCCTCATATGAATTACCACCTTTCTCCTGCTTTCATTTTTCACTGCAGATTCATTCCCTTTCAAAGTCACCTTGTTAATATATCAAAATATTTATTTTAAAAATCACATTAAAAAAATTGTTGTTGTTGTTGTTGGTTTTTTTTTTTTTTTTGCTTTCTTTACTTCCTTTGTACACCCTGATATTATTTTCAAAAACATCTTTAGCATTTGTTAATTCTGTTTGTGATGGGGTGAGTGTTTTGGAAATTTTTACAGAACTCAAATGACATTTGTATTTTGGACTGCAGTTTTCCCAGTCTGGCACATTTTAATTCAGAATCAGGTGAGATGAAATCCAGTACAACTAGAAGGCACCAGTTTGAGGGGAAAAATATTTTAAAAATGTTAAACCTAAACAGAACCAGTATCATGAAGTGGTTAAGGTGCTGGAGTAGGAGTGGGGAGCTCTAGATTCTAGCCCCCCCATCCCCCTTAGGTATGGAAGCCAGCTTGGCAGTCTTGACCAATCACTTCTTCTCCACCCTAATCTGTACCAGGCTCTGCAACAAGCCAAATGCAAAATATACTCCTTTGTTGTATTATGCATTGTGTAAACTAAGCAAACAAAACAAATAGATATTGCATCTAGTAAGACTAATACAAAGAACAATAAAAACAATGATCACAAACTAACAATAACAACAATAAAAGCTTACCATTTCAATCCAAACTTCAACTAATTTGAGCAGTATTCTAACCAAAAAAGCAGCTTTTTCTGCATTTGTAATAAAGCACTTCATCAAATTTTTTTTTGAGAAAGCATGCAGTGGATTATTTCAAGGAGAAGCATTGGCCTCATATATCTTTTATCATATAAGTGTATGCGTGTGTGTGTGTGTGTGTGTGTGTGTGTGTGTGTGTGTAGGTCTTTGGTTATTCGGGTTTTCTCCTACATAAAATTGGAAGTATCTTGGCGACGTTTCGACGAAGTCTCATTCGTCATCTTCATGCTGGTGTTTTTGGCGTCATGCTTCTAGGAGAAAGCTTCTCATTGCTCCTAGAAGCACGAAGCCGAAAACAACAGCCTGAAGATGACGAATGAGACTTCGTCGAAACGTCGCCAAGATACTTCCAATTTTACGTGGGAGAAAACCCGAACAACCAAAGACCTACATACAAACACCTGTGAAAACCTTAGAAAACATATATGTATACATGTATACATGCATACATGCATACATACACATACACACAACAGCGGTGGTGGGTTTCAAAAATTTTTACTACCGGTTCTGTGGGTGTGGCTTGGTGGGCGTGCCACAGCTTGGTGGGCGTGGCAGGGGAAGGATACTTTAAAATCTCCATTCCCTCCCCACTCCAGGGAAAGGTTACTGCAAAATCCCCATTTCCTCCCAATCAACTGGGACTCGGGAGGCAGAGAATAGATGGGGGTAGGGCCAGCCAGAGGTGATATTTGCCGGTTCTCTGAACTACTCAAAATTTCCACTACTGGTTCTCCAGAACTGGTCAGAACCTGCTGAAACCCACCTCTGACACACAGTCTAAGCAAGCCTTTAAAAACACTGTTTGAACCTTTTCTGTAAGGTAGTAGTAATACTGATCATAAAATTATTGTTATTGAAAAGACAGGTGTCTTATTCTGATTGCTGGAAAAAGAAACAAGAGAAAGCAATGCATTAATTATTATAGCTGGAGTTAGTCTGCAATTTTTTCTAGCACTGCTTTTTATTGTTTTGTTTGTTTACAGATGAGCAACTGCAGTAACTCAAGCAAGAAAACTTATTATTTGTTTTTATGAAGTTTTCTCAATTTGGTGACCCAAAGGAATCCATGAAACAAAAGTAATGATCTCAAAGAATAGATCCTGGGAGGAAGGGAAAAACAACTCCAGAACTTTCTACTTTCAGTTGTCTCTCATTGATCCTTAAGTAACTCTCCAGCCTGTATATTGCCAAATAGAGTAAAATGCTAAGCAAAGCAGATGCTGGGTTGTAGTTCTGGAATTCTGTAAACCATGAACTTGGAAGAAACATATTCAAGGCACTGAAGGAGAAAAGAAGTTGATTATGGCACTGTGTCTCCCTTTATGGATGGCGACAACTCTGCCAATATTGAAGCCAAAAATGACAAAATTAGAAACAGAAGCAGTGTAGTGGTTATCTCTAGATAGTAACTATAGAGATAACCATTATGCTACTTCTGTTTTTAATTATTCATATTTTTGCTCTCTGTGGTCCAAACCTTTCTTTAAAAAAAAAGATCCTCACTAAGAAAATATCTGCCCTTCATTATATATGTAATTAATAAAGAAGAGTTAGGTTTTAGTCCTAAAATTTCTTAGTACTAGAATTAGGTTGAGATGAAGCAAGCTTCCTCAAAAGGGAGAGAAAAGATTAATGGAGCATTAACTCTCTCGTCCTGCTGCTAGCACAGAAAGTCTTAGCGGCCACAAAATAGGGTTAGTCTAGGAACTCCCTCTTATTGCTTTTTTTGCTATTCAAACCCCTGCATCTATATAGTCTGTTATGCATCAAACTGATTAACTCATCATAGCATTTTTTTTAAAGGGGGGGGTCAAAAATGGGGGAAATGAAAGACATTACATCCATTTAGTGACACTTGTGATTGCTGGAAATCTTTCAAGAACTGTTTCTTTCCATTTGGCCAGATACTCATGATTGTCCATTGACATCATACAAGTGGATACTGTGAGGATAGTAGCTGAATAGGCCATTGTGCTCTGGAAATACAGACATGAAGAAAAATAATAGAGACTTCCACCAGTTTGTTGAACATGCCGATATTTATTTTATTTCACTGAAATTGATAGATGAACTTTTTCTCTGGTATATGTAGCTTACATTATTATTACTTTGTTCATGGATCTTGTTATTCAGGTTCATAAGCTCTGACTTACAATGGCTAATTTTAATTTTAAAGATAATAGCAGTGGTTGGAATAAGATGCCATTTGTCTGAGTGAGAAAAACACTCTAGAGGTGTAATGTTGGAAATTACTCCTGGGACCACAAAACAAAGTAGTAGAAAATGAAGAAGGTAAAGCGCTCTGGGATTTTAGAATTCAAACAGACAAGCATTTGACACCTCTGATTTAACAGTTGTTGGTAAGAACGACAAAAAAGTCTGGCTGGTGAGCATTGCAATACATGGGGACAATTCCATTTGCAAAGACCTGCAAATGGAAGTAGAACGAATGTTGCAAAAGAAAGCAAAGGTAGTATCAATAATAATAGGCAATTTGAATGTAATCCCAAAAAATTTGGATACAATTGGCATTGACAAAATCACCATCAGTCAATTGCAAAAGGCAGCTTTACTTGGAACAGCCTACATCCTACAAAATTATCTTTAATATAATTAAACAACATCATCTGCCTATCCCAGTCTTTGGGAAGGATTCAATAGGTAGACAAAAATGCCGGATCCTGTCTAAACATCTGATTGACTCTGCAACCAAACATCACTTACTAAATTTATATGCTGCTCAGTTCTTAGCGAGTAGTGCAATAGGAATTTCAAGCATTCTCAGGTGTTCTACAGCTTATAGTTCCATTCATGAGGAAGCCACAGAGAGACAAAGTTCTGCTGATTTTAAGGTCTCAAGAAAGCCTGCAAGGTATTTCTAATTATAGTAGTGTGATAGATCATGGTGATAAAAGGGTCCGTAGCTGGTAGAATCCATTCTTAGTAATATCTCAAGTCCTCACAAAGCTTTATTCTGTTTTTCTTTCTTTAAAAAAAGCCACAAAGCAACTAGGGTTCTTTTTTTAAGGGATTTCAGTAGAAATGAGACCTTGCTGGACTGGATGATGGGGCAGCTGTGGAATAGCTACTTCTGCAAATATGCTTTTTCCACTATATGTTTCCTTACCACATTTGCCCTCTTTTCTTTCTTCTTGTTGTGTCGTGAAAACAGTTGGGTGCTTCTTCAACAAAGGGTTGGATATCTAGAAAAGCCTTTTCGGATCTCCTTGGAGTATACTGCTAATGGAAACAGGAGTGTAGCTGCTGTTGATTCATTTGCAATGAAGAACTGCAGCACAGGTAAATATGAATCTTTTTTTCTCTTCTATGTTGGGGTATTTTGGCTTATTTGATATTACTGGAAAAGGAGGTATTTCTTTATGGTATAAGATTTTGACTTTAGAAATAATTGAAGTTTTTTTTCCAGTGCCTTTGTCCTAAACATAAAGCCCAGTACTTCATGTTATAACTGGAGAGTTTGGAAGCCTTGGTGGTACAGCAGACTAAAGTGCTGTTAAGTAGCACTTAGCTGCCAGCTGCCTGCAATTACTGTGAGTTCAAATCTCACTAGGCTCAAGGTTGACTCAGCCTTCCATCCTTCCGAGGTAGGTAAAATGAGGACCTGGATTGTGGGGGCAATAAGCTGACTTTGTGTAAAAAAGAACACCGCTTAGAGGGGGCCAAAAGCCCTACTAAGCAGGTATATACAAAAGTATGAAGGCTATTGCTTAACGCATTGTAAGCCGCCGTGAGTCTCTGGAGAAGGGTGGCATATAAATTAAACCAATAAATAAATAAATAAATAAATAAATAAATAAATAAATAAATAAATAGTAATATTACTCAGGCCACTATGTTTTGTTCTCATTTTATTTATATGCAGTGTGCTTTATGACTGTATGGTAATATACCTTGATATAAATCATTGCTGAAAGGCAAAACAGAAATAACAGAAATAAACCATATCCTCCCCCATGCTGATATAGATGTTGTAATTGTGAATAATAAAATGTTACTGTCTTGTTTCTTCAAGTTTCTGAAATACCCCCATCTATACTCTTTTAATACTAAACTTTTTAGTTCTATCATGAAGATTTTGAAATTCTCAGCCTCGGCATATAAATATTTTTGACACTGGATTCTTTTGTTATATGCAAGACTGCACTGGCTCTTGTTAAGCAACCATGTTTTATGTCTCCTCTCTTATTGTCTGTACTTTGAGGATTTGAAGAATTCCTGTAGCAATCTGCTTTAAATCCAAGACTCCGCAGTCCATGTTGACAGAATATAGTTAAGACAATTTTTCTCCTTTTGTATTCTCAAGAGGTATTGTGTTTTAACATCTACATTCCCCAACCCATCATGGCTATACTTGTTACTATTTATGTTTGACTCATCTGGAGGGTACAAGATGGCGAAAACTCAGATTCAAAATTACAAAACATATTAGCAGAGAATTCAATCTAATAACTAACTGTAGACTAAGGTTTTGTCTGTATGTACAACAGTTCAGGGTTTGGAAGTGTCTGTAAACCTCAAGTTCTATATGATGATAATTGTGAAAGGGAAAAGGTCTTCTCTGACCATGCTATTTCCTTTACTCCTTTCCCTCTCCAAATCCTCTAAATCCTGTTGATTTGATCAAGATGATTTGGGCTGATTTAGATTAGGCAACGCTGGAAAGCTAGAGATAGAGGGATATACTTCTGGAAGTAGAGGGATAAAATCCTCTCTTTATGCCACACAAGACAAAAATTGAGGAGAGGGGTAGTGAAAATGAACAGCAAATAAGAGCTTGTCAGTTTTGAGAGCTTCCAGTGGCATGGCTCAATATCTTCCCCATGCGGATACTTATTGGATATGCCCTCTTTCATTCTTCTTTCTGTTTTCCAGATTTCTAATATGTATTGTATTGTTCTAGCAGTGAGCACAGCTTTAACCCAGCTAGAAGTTATCTTTTCCCTGTCCTCATGACTGCCTTCAAAATAGCATTGCTTACTCAAGGTTCCTACTGAGGTATATGGCAATTGATTGCAACAACAAGCTTCTAGTTGCAATGGCACTTTATCATCAGGATGCCATCTTGAGTTAAGACCCTGAGCTTTTTTCTTTCTTTTGAAAGTTCCTCAATCTTACATTATTTCAACCATTTACCACAGAATTCTTTTCCCATTCCATTCTGGTCATTTCTCCTCTCGTGACTTAGAGTCACACAACCCTTCTTGTGCCAAAATAAACATGATGAGGCCAAGCTTCATAACACTTTAATGATGTGGGGCCTCAATTTTGGAAAGCTTTTATGAAAATGTCTAGAGCACTGTTTCTCAGCCTTGGTAACTTTAAGATATTTGGACTTCAACTCCAAGAATTCCTCAGCCAGCATGAGAATGAAAATTGAAGTTTACATGTTTTGAAGTCACTAAGATTGAAAAAAAAAACCCTGGTCTAGGCATGTACATTATTAAATTTAGTTGTTCATATTTTTGCTCACAGAGGAAAGGAGAGGAGGAGGGGAGGGGAGGAGAGGAGAGGAGAGGAGAAGAAAATGTATGCTGTGACATGGTTTTTAAGCCAGTTTATTGGAAACAAGGTTTCATCCAAGGCTTCATGGAGACAGCTATCTCCAATGTTCTCATAGAATAAACTAAATAAAGACTAAAGCAATAGGGCTATTAAAGGACAATTAGTTTTAATTAAGCCCCTTCAAAGTTTTTTTGAAAGCATGGGGTTTTTTTCATATAGTCCTATAAACTAATCAGTGCAATAAAAATGATATCAAATCTACACATTAATGTAGGAACAGTGAGTTACCTAAAAGCTATTGCAGCACACCCAGCTAAGATAGAAATGTAAATGTAAAATCCCTGAGCAAATAAATAACACGTAAATAAAGGTCTCCCAAAAGGTTCCATTCAATATAATCTTAATTTGGGGCATACACTGCTCCCAAATTTTTCAAGACAATCCTGTCTTGAAAAGAATAAAGATGGAAATGTGATTATTTCTGAGCTGAGCTAGTGTCTCGTAGGATTTTACTGTGATCTAATGGCTTTTTGTCAGGTTGATCAGAAGTCCATAAAATCCCTTTTTAAACTACCCTGAACTTTTGCTTATGAATTATCATTACAGGCATAAATCTAATCTTCTCTTCTGTTGAACCAAATCTTTCCTAGCTAGGGAACTTCAGTTTAGCTTACATTCTGCAGTGTTGGCACAATGTCTTGCTGGGACAAAAATACAGTGTCCTGAATGGCAAACAAAACATACTGTCTTCATTAATGGGGAAAGGCGGCAGGATCTGCATCAGAATATTTCAAAAATATGGAGTAGGGTTCAGGTGAAAGCCAATATTGTGTGATCCAGGGGGACCATTGATTTGCTATGGTCCTCCAGTGTTGATATACATAGCAAATAAGAAACAGACTCTGTTTGATTTTTAGAGATTAAAGTGAGAAGTTTGTTGAATTATATGTGTATTCCATGCCCGGAATAATTGCATTTCTGAGTTCTTATGTTCCAGTGGGTCTTTCAGATGCTGAGAAAAATGGGTATGAAATGGAACATTTTGCTTTTCTCCAATATAAAGTTTCTGCTGAATCCTCCTTCCAACAACAGTAGAACTCCGACCTGGCACATTTTAATTAAATGTGTAATGAATTCACAGTAGATGGCAGTCTATAGCCAACCTTGGCTAAGCTTGCAAAGACTAAACAGAGATGGTCAGTATTCGAATAGGAGACAACCAGGAAATTCCATTATCTGTAGGCTAGAGGGAGAAATCAATAAAATATCCCAGAAGAAGAAAATGACAAATGTGAAGAAGGCAGTGTCAAAGAAATTGCATTGTTGCCAAAGGAAATATGTCTTTATAATCACCAAGACTAAATATGTTCTTGTTATCACCAAAACTAAAGGACAGCTGTCTTTTCAGTATAAATTTTCAGGCATGCAAGAATGTTTGACAAACAGAATGAAAAAGGACAAGATGGATCCAAATTCCAAGAACTCGTAGCTGCCTTTTTCTTTAATTCATTAACTGCTCTTTTTTTTTTCTGTTTAAAAATATGTTTTCATCCTTTTCCACATGGAAGCAATGTTCTGGTAGAAGGAATTGCATCACCAAATAGCAAATTTCTCACTAATAAGCGACCCCAGAATTTATTAACCACTTTTCTACCACTGAACTCCATAACTGGTTTTATTAATATCCAGCCAATAATTTTAATTTGTTCATTCACAACTACAATAATTGGTATAGCAATATTTAGTAATTGATGGCAATTTCTAATAATAAAAGCTGAGTTCATTTCCTAAGAAATGTATTGACTTATTAATGGCATGTAATGGTTTTCATAGAAATACTTTCTTTCATTTTGAGTAATTTACTGAAACATTGTATTCTCCCTCAAACACTCCAATTCCAATTAAAATAAAGTGCTTAGTAGCTAAATGATAAGTAATTGATTTTCTTCAACCCCAGCCAATTGGACATAGCAAAAGGGGTGGGGGGGGGCATCTTTTCTTTGAATAGATTTTTAGATGGGTTTTTTTTACCCTGCCTGTATTATTTTTATAAATAACTCAAAGGAGTGAACAAATCGAATATTCCTTTCTCCTCCTATTTTCCCCACAACAACAATCCTGTGAGGTGGGTTGAGAGACAGCAACTGGCCCAAAGTCACCCAGCCAGCTTTCATGCCTAAAGTGAGACTAGGAATAGGAGAAAAGGTATATCTGTAAAATATATGTGGCACTTATATGGAATATCTTCTAAGGAAATCATCCTTTCCTCCTTTTCTGAAGGTTCCTGTCACTCCCACTGTAGCATGAAAATACCTTCCTAACCATACTTAAGGGTTATATGGGATATATTCCTTAAGTATAGTTAGCAATATTACCTGCATGTCATTTACAACTCACCAGAAATGCAGATACATTTAGCCGTTCCAGTTTAAGAGAAGTCATTTTTCTCATTTTGTGAAACAAATCTTGTACAAACGATCTATGGTGCCTGATCATCCCTGTTGATGATGAGTTATTTAAGGGGTGTTATTTAACTCTGCCTTAATTCTTGCTAGCCATTCAAAGCAGAATGGACTGGCCACTCCCATCTGGTCACTTTTTAGCAATGGCAATAGCACTTATATATACCACTTCACAGTGCTTTACAGCCCTCTATAAGAGGTCTACAGAGTCAGCATATTGCCCCCAACAATCTGGGTCCTCATTTTATCGACCTCACAAGGATGAAAGAATTTTTTTTAAAAAAAAAAATTTATATATTTTCTCTTTGTATACAA